TTGATTCCCGCGCACTTCCCAATGGAGATCGCGAAACAAAATATGCTGTGCGCCCGCGCCCCGCACGGTCTGGATGTTGTAGCCCGAGAGCGTTTGGCTGTCGTCCACTTGCTTTCCCGCGAAGATCAGCCGCTGCTGCGTCGGAGGGATGTCTTCCTTGTCCTGGACCGTCTCCTTCACTCTGCGGATCGTATCAGCGGTCACCACGTCGATTGTGAACGTCTTCCCCGTGAGCGTCTTCGCGAAGAGCTGCGTGCTTCAGCGGCTGTGGGTTGCGGCCGAAGTTCTCGGCAATAGTCCCGGGCTCGGCCCAGGCAGTTGCCGCTGGCAGAGGTCGGAGGTGGGGGCGTCCGTGTCGGAGTGGGCGCGGAGCAGCTCGGCGCGCCCGGGCAACGCCTGGGGCGGCACCGCGGGCGCCAGAAACGCATCCGTAGCCACGGGGTAAGGGCCGCAATCGTGCAATTGAGGGCCCTGCTGCTGCTGCCGGCTGTCGTCGTGCTGTTCCTCGAGCTGTTGCTCGCCATCGTGCGGCTCGGGGTGCTGCTGCTGCTGGTTTCCACAGGCCTGCCCCTGGTCATCGTGGATGTTGTGGTGGATGTTGTGGTCGCTTGTATCCTCCTGGTCGACGTGGATGTCGTGGTCCCATGCTGTGGTGGATGTCCAGGTCCTCGTGGGAGTCGTGGTGGACGTCGATATTGTCGTCCGCGTCTTCTTGGCCGTCGTGGGTGTCGTGGGGGATGTCCTGGACGTTCTCTTGGACCGTGTTGCGGCTTTCGATGGGGCCCCCAGTCCAAGCAACACGGCACAGTAAGTCGAGCCCAATGTCGGCAACAGCGGTGGCGTGGAGAGCGTCGTGGTGCAGAACGGCGGCGTTGGTCTGGGGGGTGCCGTCGTGAAGGGTGGCGTCGCCGTTGCGCTCGTGGACGGGTGCTGGCGTTGGTGCCAGGTGCAGGTGTCGATGCAGTCGCATGGCGGTGGAGCCGTCGTCAATGCAGCCGTGGGTGCTGGCGGCTCGCGCCGGAGGCGGCTGCTGTCGCTGCCGCTCTGGGGGATGCCAGCCAATCCTCGGCTGTTGATCCTCGCCGTGCTGCTCCTCGACATGCTGTTGGTGTGGACTTTGTGGGTTGTGGTCGTCGGGGATGTCCTTGTCATCGTTGTCGTGGTCGTGATCGTCTTGCTCGTCGTGAGTGTCCGGGCTGTCGAGGTTGTCGAGGGTGACGTGGTTGCCGTGGTCGTGGGCGTCGTGTTTTTTTCTGGGCGTTGCGGTTGTCGTGGTAGCCTTGACTGTTGCTGTGGGTGCTGGCGTCGGAGCTGCCATGGACGCTGGCGTCAGTGCTGGCGCGAGGGCCTGCGATGGTGCAAGTTTTAGTGTTGATACGGCCGTTGTCGCCTGCGATGCTGGTGTCGATGCTGATGTGTTGGTAGTCCTGCGGGGCGCCCTTCCAGGTCTCGGTGGGCTGGTGGATGCACCCCTTCACCGCTCCGGAACCCGCTTCAAATATCGAGGAGTCCCCCGGCCGTTGCGCGGAGTCCGCCGCCAACGCCTCGTGGACCGCCATCAGCGACGAGTCCTGGTCCTCCTCCAGCTGGGTGTTCTCCTTCAGCGTCTTCGCGAAAGGCGGCATTCCTGCGTTGGTGATGCTGGCGTCGGTGCTGGCGTTGGTAATGCTGGCGTCGATGATGTTGGTGTCTGGGCTGGCGTCGGTGTCTGTGTCGGTGTTGTCGACCATGTACCCAGAGCCCGCCTCCAGCACTTTGGACGCCCGAAATGGGTACCGAAAAAATGGGTACGATGCCCAACAGCAGATGTTGTCCCAAACCAACAGCGGCCGCTGTTGGGCAGGCGGCCTCCTTGCCTCGAATGGACACAGGCCGCGGCGGCGTGGGCAGCGGATCTTGTTCAAAATGAACAGGAACTGCTGTTGGGCATTGTACCCATTCTTTCAATGCCCATTTCGGGCGTCCAGAAGCACCTCTGAAGTCGCCATTTCCAACGAATTATCCGACAGTCCTGCAGGATCCCTGACTGGGAGGCGCAAGAAAGGGCGGGGCGGTGAGGTACAATGGACCAGACCAGAAGCGGGCGAGGGACCCTGGGGTTTCGGCGGGGTGGGGTCCATGGAGCACGGTAGCCCCCCATCGATCCCCCCGGCCCCCCAGGTCGTTGGTCCCGAGCTCCCCTTGGGAAGTTGACAAGTCTTGTTGCCGTATCCCCTTGTCCCAGCCCTTGTCCCAGTCCTGTAGCCGTCGTAGTTGTCGCTAGTGACCAGGTGCCCGAAGACAAGCTCAGGCACGCACGCCTTGTGCTTCTAGTGGATCGCTATGGGCAGCCCCTTGCCATTGTTGGTGACCTTGATGCGCTTCTGCTTCGTGTCGATCTCAACCTTGATGTAGTTAATGGTCTTGTCGCGCTGCAGGTTGTCCGCAGCATTCACCAACATCTCGTCGAAAATCTTGTAGAGGGCCGGCACGTAGGTGATGCTGCGGAAGTCCATATCCTCCTTCTTACTGTCCCAGATCCACAGGCTGTCGCCCGGCTTTTCCGCGGAGCCCACGTAGGTGTCCGGGCGTAGGAGGATGTGTTCCACGGGAGTCTTCTTCTGGTAGATCTGCTCCACGGTCTTGGAGCGGCGCAGCCCAGAGCCCCCGTCGCCACTCTCGACGCGCTTGGCCTTCTTCTTGATATGCTTCTTCACCCTCTTCGGAAGCATGGCTCGCCCGGCCGCGACCCGCGCGCTGGGCGTGGCCGAGGCGGAGCACGCCTCCTGTTTGGGGAAAGTCCCCGTCAACGGTAACTGGGACTGAGCCTTGAGCCAATGTGATGCTCGAGCCATCTTAGAACAGGCCTGCGAGGGCGCGCGTAGAGTAGCATGATGTGGAGTAGTAACAACATACCACCTGTGCCCGTGTTGGCTCCTAGTGATGCTGCGAACTTTAAGCTGGTCTCGGACCCCTGGGTTTTTCGATCTCTCCCCCCAGGGTGGCTTCTCATCCCGAGCGATTTCCCCACCATCCTGTGGTGTTGGGTCCTCGTTTTGAACAGACCGTCCCAACGTTCCCTCCTTTTTTCCTCCCTCCCCCCCCTCCCCCCTCCTCTCCTCTCCCTGCGTTTCACCCACCCAGTACAACGCTTCGTGGCCCCATTGGGAACTCCACCGAAGGCGCCAGTGGCAGAGTTCGCATGGCGGCTTCGGGTCATGTGGGCATACCCCTCACGAGGATCGTGGCCCCATGGGACTCCGCCGAAGGCCACAGTGGCAGGGTTCGCATGGCGGCTTCGGGCCACTTGGGCACGCCCCTCACGAGGATCGTGGCCCCATATGGACCACCACCGAAGGTCCCAGCGGCAGAGTTCGCATGGCGGCCTCGGGCCATTTCGGCACACCCGGCACGAGGATCGTTGCCCCATAGGAACTCCACCGAAGGCGCCAGTGGCAAGGTTCGCATGGCGGCCTCGAATCATGTCGGCACACCGCTCACACCCTTCACGAGGACCGTGGCCACATAGGGAGCTCCACCGAAGGCCCCAGTGGCGGGGTTGGCATTGCGGCCTCTGGCCATTTCGGCGCACCCATCACGAGGATCGTGGCCCCATTGGAGCCAGTGGCAAGGTTCACATGGCAACCTCGGGCCATTTCGCCCCCCCCCCCCCCCCCCCCCCCGCGAGGATCGTGGCGCCAATTGCAGGGCTCGCATGGCGGCCTCGGGCCATGTGGGCATACCCCTCACGAGGATCAGGGGCCCATAAGGAGCTCCACTGAAGGCCCCAGTGGCAGGGTTCGCATGGCGGCTTTCGGCCATGTCGGCGCACCCATAACGAGGATCGTGGCTCCATAGGAGCTCGACCGAAAGCCCCGGCGGCAGGGTTCGCATGGCGGCCTCGGGCCATTTCGGCACGCCTCTCACGAGGATCGTGGCCCAGTAGGAGCTTCACCGACGGCGCCAGCAGCAAGGTTCACGTGGCGGCGGCGGGTCATTTCGGCACACCACTCGCGAGGATCGTGGCCCCATAGGGAAGCTCCGCCGAAGGCCCCAACGGCAGGGTTCGCATGGCGGCCTTTGGCCATGTCGGCGCACCCCTCACGAAGGTCGCCGAAGGCCCCAATGGCAGCGCTTGCATGGCGGATCCGGGCCATTTCGGCACGCCCCTCACGGGCGTCGTGGCCCCATAAGGAGCTCCACCGAAGGCTTCTGAGGCAGGGTTCGCGTGGCGACCTCGGGCCATTTGGGCGCACCTCTCACGAGGATCGTGGTCCCGTAGGGAGCTCCGCCGAAGGCCCCAGGGGCAGGGTTCGCATGGCGGCCTCGGGCCATTTACGGGGCACCCCTCGTGAGGATCGTGGCCCGATAAAGAGCTCCACCGAATGTCCCAGTTGCAAGGTTCGCATGGTTGCCTGGGGCCATGTCGGGAAAACCTCGCGAGGATCGTGGCCCTGTATGGGGCTCCACCGAAGGCACCAACAGCAACCTCCCTCATGGCTCTTTGCTCCTCGATCAGAGGGACGCCGTCGTCGTCGTCGTCGGCGCCCGCGAAGACGGCCACGAACGCGTCCTTGAGCATGTCCGGCTCCGGCGGACAGCCGTGGCCACATAGGGAGCGCGGGCGAAGATGGTATTCACAATTGCGGTATTCACAACTGCACATGGTTGGGTCCTTTGCCAAGCTAATTTTCAAAAGCCCTGGGGCCCGAAACTGGCCTCCAGAGGCCAAAACTGGCGACACACTGGCCGCCTTGAGTTTTTCGAGGCGCCAAATATCTGGGTCGTCCCCAGGCCTCCGACATTGTGGCCCCTCCCCCAACAGGACCCGCTGTCGCTCGGGACTGGCGTCTCATATCCTGAATTGTGTCTGGACGACCCTGGGACCTGGGAAGGCCGAGAACGGCCAAACACCCTACGTCGTTTTGTTTGTTTGTTTGGTCTGTCCATCTGTTGGTTTCCCTTCTCGACTCGACGTGGTCTTGGCCAAAGGCAGGTCTGGAGGGGCGCGGGCGCGGGGCCTGTGGCGACGCCCGCCGGTCCGCCCAGTGCAGGCGCTGGGGTGGACTGCGCCATTGGGCGGAGCACTGGGGCGCTGGGCCTGCGCCGTGGGGGTCGGGGCAAGGGAGGGGGGGGGATTTTTTCGATTGCGCACTCGCTGAAGCTACAGCCTGTCGAGAAAAGGCGGCGCTGTTCTGACCATACATTTCGGGACATGTGATTGATCCTGCTACGGGCACCAAGTCATCCAGTAGTGCACACATGCATGCGAAGGCTCAAGCACGACACGACAGATGTGACAGATGCCAAGATGGGAGGGTGTCCCTAAGGTTCCCCGTGGCTCCCCAGGGTGGTTCGGGGCAAGGGACCCAGACGAAGGGGGTGTCCGTTTAACTGGTTTCATATTGGATCTCATGCGTGCGTATATCCCTTTCTCGACTCAGTCCTCCCACCTTTGAAGGGCGTCTTGTTGAGCAGAAGAACAAGGCCGCCGGTACTGAGTTGAATCCTGGAAGCGTGTCGCGGGGGAACAGGGATGGGGGCGAGACCTTTAGCGCAATGAAGCACAAGTGCAATCATCGCGCTGTCACCACGAACACTGCACAAGGAGGCACGATAGGGCTCTTCAGGCCACGGCGAATTTCAGGCACGAACAAATCCCCCGACCTAGATCTGAGAAACTGCCCAAAGCCGTCAATACCGACTCGTGGTGAAGAACCCGCCCTGGTGAACGGGCCAGTACTTCTGGGGACCCTGTACTGGAAAAGTCAAGACGTCGGATCTCTGGAGAGCGGGGAAGGATTCGAGGACCGAGGATCGAGGCTCGAGTTTTTTTTTTCGGCGGGCGTTTGTAATCTTGTCGGGCCCCTGGGGAACTTCTCGTCGCCACGGCTGGACCCGTCTCGAAATTCTTGCTGGGACGCACCTTAGACCTTTGAGTGGGTCTCTTCTTCCTCTTCGTCCTCCTCCTTCTCCTTCTCCTTCTCCTTCTCCTCCTCCTCTTCCTCTTCCTCCTCCATTCCTTCTCGTTATATATATATATATATATATATATAACTTCTCACTGTCGCACCCCGAGGCCAATTTTTAGGGTGGGTCGGGCGTTTCGCCTGTTCCTCACCATGTATGACTCTGAAGCTTAAACATTGGCAACAGCTTCACAGATGGAGGGCGGGTGGTTTTCAAAATGTGGCTCTCGCCATAGCGCCACGCACATCCGTTTCAAACATGTGCAAGAATTTCACGGATTGAGGGCGAGTCGTTCTCAAAATGTGGCTCTCGCCTTATCGCCGCGCACATTCGTCTTCAACCTTTGCAAGAGCTTCACGAATTGAGGGCGGTTCCTTTTCAAAATGTGGCTCGCCTTCGCGCCGAGCACATTTGTTTCAACATTTTCACGGATTCCGGATTCCCATGATCTACGTAACAGACATGGTGTTTTGGACGTGTTCAGGCTTATGAAGGTGCACAAGCTATGCTGGCTCGCGGTGTTCAAGTCCCAGGAATGGCGTTCTGAAGCAATTCCGAATCGTCAGGTCGCAACAGTCAGGTTGATCCGTGGCGTTGGAAAACCAAGAACATTGTTTTGGCATGCTTCAGGATCTTCGAACAGTTGTCTTCCAACGAGGCAGTTCCACCAGTAGTACTGAACCGTAGTAGGGGCCTATGAAGAGGGAGCTTGGAGGGAGGGTTTACTCCAACACCATTGATGCCTCGTGGGTTTACTCTGGTCCTCCTCCTCCTCCTCCTTCCCCCAAGGCCGTTCACGGCGACAATGCAGTCGAACATCGACCGAACCGACAACGAAGCCAACACCGACCGAAACTGACATGCCGAAAGCAGCCTAGAAGGGCGCAACGACGCAACAACGACAATCTTACCGACCGTACGTACCGAACCGATCGTTCGCAACAAACTGTGACGCAATCGAACCGACCGACCCGCGGACACCCTTGTTCCCCCCCTCCTCCTGCCTTCATCTGGTCGCGGAAGTGGCGCCCCCACCAGCACTCAGGGGGCTACCCCAGGTTCCCAGGTCCGCTGCCGAGAAAGACAGAACACGCACGCGGGCCTTCCTCGTTCCTTCGATCCACCACCTCCCTCCTTCTCCTCCTCCTCCTCCTCCTCTTCCTCCTCCTCCTCATCCTTCTCCTCCTCCTGCCGCAACAAGGGGGGGGGGTGAAGACATGAATCCCCAGCCGCACAAGGGACTCCGTGCGAGTCCGCTGTCTGTCAGGCGCCTTCAGTCCTCGCCCGTCCCTCCCCTCCTCCTCCTCCTTCCTTCCTCCTCCCTGCTCCTCCTCCTCCCTGCTCCTCCTCCAGCCTCTTCCTCCCCGATTCTCCTCTTCCTTCTCCAGCCTTCTCCAGGCCTGCTCCTGCTCCTCCTCCCCTTCCTCCCCTTCCTCCCCTCCCCCCCCCTTCCTCCTCCCCCCCCCTCCCCCCTGGGCACGCCGCGACTGGAGCCGCTGCGGCGCAGGCTGCTGCTGCGGCGGCCTGTGTGGCTGAGGCGGCGGCCGGGGCAGGCAGCTGCCGCTGGCGACGGGCCCCCTGTCGCCTGGGGGGGGGGGGGGGCTCCCGCAGCAGTGCCACAGCAGCGTGGCCGATGCAGCCGTCGTGCTACCATGAAGAACGCATCACGAGGAGCGAAGGGGCCTGTCCGGCCACGGCGGGCCTGGGCCACAGACAGTTGGCGGCGCGCACAGGGGTGCTGGAGGGAGGGGGAGGGCTTCTTAGAAGGGGGCTGCTTCTTTAGACGGCGCCGGCCTTCATCTACAGGTGAGGCCCGCGCCTCCAGAGGAGCAGGGGTGCTTCGAAGAAGCCCTCCCCCCTCCCCCCAGCCCCCTCCTGCGCGTGGCCGAAACAAGTTCCACGACATGAATTTGGGGAACGACCCGAACACAGGAGCCGCGCCTGAGCCCAAAGCGGTCCATATTTCGGCGTCTTGACTGCACTGAACCGCTGCCTGGGCCTGGTCTCCGAGGGCCTCCATGCCCCTCCAGACTCAATCGAAGGCCTCCCGAGGGACAGGGGGGAGGACCCTCGATCTTCGTTGCCCGATGACGACGACGACGGCGACCAAGACGAAGACACATCAGATCGTCGATATCAACGTCGGAGCTCCGGGTCTGGTGGGCCGCTCTGCAGCTCCGTCTGCTGCTCCCTCGGATGCTTCTCAAGGCCTCTGGGGGGTCCCGGAGGCCCTAGCCAAGCCTGATACGCAGAACAACTCCGAGGAGGAGTGACCGTGAGGAGAAAGTCGGGGGAAGAGGGGAAGGGGGGACGACGACGAGGCCGGGGAGGGGGGAGGAGGGCGAAGAACGACGCCGACGAGGACGACGATGACGGCGACGGCGACGAGAAGGAGGATGATGAGGAGAAGGGGTGGATGAGGCGGCGGGGGAGCAGGGTGCCGAGGCTCAGAGACCAAGGACTTGTCGTACCACAACCTCGGCCCTCGACCTCGGAGGTCCGGGGCTCCTCCACGGCCGCGCGGGCCGGCGGGAACTTCACCCACGGAGGGGGTCGTCGTCGGCGACGTCGTGGTGGTGGTGGTGGTCGCCGGGTTGTCGTCGTCGTCGTCGCCGCCGCCGCCGCCGCCGCCGTCGCCGCCGTCGTCGTCGTGGTCGTCGTCGTCGTCGTCGTCGTCGTCGTCGTCGTCGTCGTCGTCGGAGGAGGAGGAGGAGGAGGAGGAGGAGGAGGCTGAGGAGGAGACTGAGGAGGAGGAGGCGGAGAAGGAGGAGGCGATATTGGCAATATTGGAAAATGGAGCAAGCTCCCTCGCGGCCAGCGAAAGCCTGATGCTTAAATCAAGCTGGGAAAAAGGTCCTCCCTCTGGGGCTGCGCCTCGCGAGCCTCTCCGCTTCGCTCTCGGCGGCACCTCTCCACCACCTCCCGAGGGTCCGAGAAGCCGTGCAACGCAGCAACCTTATACATGCCAAACGGCTCTGGGATCTCCAACCCGTACTTGCCCAAAACCGGGCCAGATCCAGAACTCGCTTCCTCGACTCGCAAATTCCCTGCCCACTGAGCTCGGATCTCGGCCGCCGGGGTACACAGGGGTCCAAGCTTAGGAGGCGAGGATAAGGTCGAATTCGAATGGAGCCCCTCCTGATCCTAATACGCTGGTTGGCCAGTCCAGGATGTTTACTACCCTTACAGAAGGCGGCGAGGCCCGATCCAGTCCTGTCGTTTTTCTGGACGCTGGCACCGCAACTCGTGCAAAAAAATCGGCGGGGCAGCTTCCAAGCTAAACTCCCCAACTCCGCCACTTCCGCAATCTCACGCCCTTGAAATAATCGCGGTTGCAAACCCAGACTCGCGCTCCCAGCGGCAGGGCTCGACTCCTCCGCGGGAGCCGGAGACGGGCCTGCACCGCTATAAAGTACTTCCGGCAGCGCTTCACGACACCGGAAGCGCTCTCTGATAGGATAATGGGCACTCCACTCGCTGACAAGTTCAGCAGCGAGCTGAGACTCATCAGCTTCAAGATCCAAGACATCATCGGCTGTGCCACCGACTCCGTCGGTATCTTGAAAATCAGAAGCGTGCAGCCAGGAGTGCAGGCGGCCCTGCCAGACAACCACCTGCTCCACGCGCCTCTCGCACGCTTCTACGAAGCATTCCTGCTCCTCCGGGACTTCGCACAAGCAGGCGCCTTTTTTGGCCCTCTCGTCGGCCAACCTGTTACCCCTGAGCTTCCAAATGTCTTCAACAGACGAGGCTTCCTGCAGCGACCGATGGGCCTTCACTTTTTCCACCGTTGCGGCCGAGCCGACCTTTGACCACTACAACGTCTACATGTGCCGTCGTTCGTTCCAAGGGTCCAGCGCTCTGGCCGGGTCGGTGGCGCACGAGACAGACCCTGCGCAGTCGCTGAAAACTTTAAGGGGCACTCCTGAATTCCCGCCGCTGGAGGGCGGCCCAGAGAAACGTGCAGGCATGTGGATGACTACCTACCAGACCACCCCAACCCAACTCGAAGACCCGAATTTCGGGTTGGGGGAGGTAAGGGTTCCACATGTGTTTTTTCGATGTTTCCCGACCCCCACCCACTGGAAATCGAAGGTAAATCTGAGCCTTCGGGTTGGGTTGGGGTGGTTTGGTGGGTGGTGATGGTCGGGCCCCCACCCCCGAGGGACCACCCCATACACGCCAGCAACACACCGGCCGGCCTGGTCGACCTGCACAGCAGACCGGCCTGCTCTTCTACACGAGCCGCGCTTCGTGCGGCCCGCGGGCCCGCCCACAGACATCGGCCCTCCCCAAAGCCACCCGGGCACGGCCCCCACGCACCTGACCCAGTGTTCCTCGGGCGCCTCGGGTCGCCCGGAACAGCGCTCGGGGGAAAGACAAAGACACCGTGCAAACAGCTCTGCTTCGTTCCCGCTGAGCTTCGCCACCTTCCAGGCGGCCTGCCTGAGATCTGCTGGCATATCGGTGTGCCGGATGCCCGCGGAGCAAGGGCAATCAGATCCCCAATGCCAAAATCGTACCGCGACGACCGCAATTTCGTCGTTTGTCCGAGACTGCCCTACCGTGCCTGTGGAGTTTCGCTTGAGGCCAATGGGTTCGCGAGATCAAACCGCGAACCAAGTTGCACTCGTGCCTGCCGAGACCCGCGGAGCCCTTCTCCAAGAGCACCTTACCGATGGCGCCAAAAACTGAATTATTCTCTACTTAGTTATGGCTATGTTGTCTGAGGCTGCGACTGCCACGCGCCAGGCTACCGTGGCAGCTCGGCTGGGGGAGAAAAACTGCAAGTCTACTTCCTCCCCGAACGGGCACAGCATGACTGTGGCAAAACGCATCGTGCTTCCAGCGCGGGCCAAGGAAAGCAGCGGCGCCCGCGCTGGATTCACGCACTGTGCCCAAGGAGACTTCATCCCAAGGATCGCCCGAGAGCCTTCCAGAACCCAACCCAGAACCGCAACCGATGGCATCGAAGTTTCCGCGCACATGGCCCACGCGGGCACCGCCTCTCCAAGGTGGATGACAAACGGGCCCCTTCATAACCCACGGTGCACGGTGCATAGCGCGAAGGCGCAGGCCGACGCTGGCCCCTGAAGGGGGGCCCCCTCAGCTCGCAACGCCGACGCTCACAAACTGTTCGGCTCATTGTCGGCCGGGCCTGTAACGGCCGACCCCCAGACAGCCGCGGCGGCGGGCGAATGACGGAAGATGCGCTCGACGGAAGCGCCTGCAGCTCGCGAGTGGCGCACTCGTTCGGCAGCCGACTTCGCTCTGGCCAGCCGCTTGTCCTGCTCGGCCACGCCCCGGCGAAACCCGTCAGAGCCATCGCCCCCGAGGCATCGAAGCCCACGAGGCCTGCTGATCTCACCGTCCCACGCTGCCTTCAGGACTGCGGCCAGCTCGGCATTCTCTGCGAGCCAGCCCGTTTGATCCCAATTCAAGCGCAGCTTGCGGGCCTCCAGGCCCTCGACGAGGAACTTGAGAGCACCTGGAAACTGCTCGCCAACCAGCCGGGCCGTGCCCGGGGCCTGCAGCCGCTGGTCGTCCACCAGCGACTGCGCCCGCGCAAGCGGGAATCGACTCGCCCGCTCGACCGGCAAGGTGTGCGCCATCAGCTTCGCGAGACCGAAGGCGCATGAGCACCTGGCGCCGATCGTGCGCTGGCCCTGATGACCAAGGAGAGCGCCCCTGCAAACTTTGCGCGCCTTGGCTGCCGATGCGCGCAACACGGCGCCTTCGGCAACGGCGGGGGGAACTTTGTCACGCGAGCCTCGCGCAACAGAATGACGTGCGACACGTGCTCGTAGTACTTGCTGAGGTCCACTGCTGCCGCCACGGCCGCCGCGCCCTGATCGGCGTGCTGCGTGCAGAACGCCGCCAAAAAATTGTGGGCGCGACCAGCGCGGTCGCGCGCCCTGTCGGCACCACCCCCAAAGCGGCGCCTCCACTCGGCCACCAGCGGCTGCCGCAGCCGAGACCGCAGCCTCAGCCAGATGCACTGAAGGATGATCGGCTAGACCCCACCTGCCGGCGGAGGCTTGGGCAAAGACGTCGCCAGCATCATCTAGAGCGCGCGCTCGGAGGGGCCAGCCTGCCGCAGCCGCAGCAGCACGTCCAATAACCTCTCGCGATAGCTTCTCGGCAGCCAGCGAAGCTGTCGGGGATGGGGCTGGCCCCGACCAAGCCCCGCCTTGTCCCCGCGCGCGTCGATGACATCGCCCAGGCGTTCCACCGCCCAGGGCGGGAGCGACGCCGAACTCCTCCCCAACCCAATCGAATCGCACGGGCACGCCTCGCCGACCCTGTCGTTGACCTAGAGCGGCTCCCACCGCTGCATCAAGTGCGCCATCGCGTAGTCGTCTCCCAGCGGCAAAACCCAGTCCAGGTCGGAGTCGAGCGCCTCGATGGCCGCCGGCTGCACCTGGGCGGACCCGACGTAGGCGAAGGCCATTCTCCCAACTTCTGTTGAGGCGGCCTCCTTGGCCCAAGCTCCCCGCGACGCTGCCTGCTCATGCTGGTCACGGAGAGAGCGTGATCCACCGCAGCTTTACTGTGGAAAATTGCCTCACTTTTCCTCCAGAACCCGGGGTTCCCCCGAGATTCGGTCTCTTTACAACCAGAACAACCACTTTACAACCAGATGGGTTACTTTACAACCAACATAGGATTGGAAAATATGGTTGTTCATCGAGAGCGTCCACTTTGCAACCAGAACGGCCCGCTTTACAACCAGAGCGGACCACTTTGCAACCAGAACGGGCCACTTTACAACCAGAACGGACCACTTTACAACCAGCTCAGAGTGGCCGTGCGTGTTTGGGCGTTCCGCAAAGTGCCCCAGAGCAAGTGGGCGCTCTGAAAAATGCTCCAGAGCAAATGGGCGCTCTCAAAAGTGCTCCAGGGCGCGCGCTCCAGGAGGAGGAGGAGGACGACGACGACGCCGAGGCCGAACAGGTTGGGTCGGGCGCCTCCACGAGAGCTTTGGCTACAGAGGCTCTTTCGGAGAGGTAACCGCTACCAGAAACTCAGAGTATGACAGGATCTGCTAGCAGCGGCCAAGCGGCCTCAACAAGGGCTCAGTGCTCGCACGGGAATACGGCGACAGCATACGTAGGAAGGCTCAGGGCGACGCGCTGCCCATTAGCGATCGCTCACAGGAAGCGAGCCCAGTGGCCTCCTCAAGGGCCCAGCGCTCCAGGGGACTATGCCATTGGCACCGCGGGCCTCTTGGGCCACGTTGGCCCCTGAAGCCCCACGGTGTTCTGCAAGGGGCTAAGTGCTCCAGCTCCAGTTGGCCCTCTCCTGCTCCTCCTTTTCGTTGTGGCCCTGACCTCCTGCCCCTGGCACGTCTGAACTCGCGCGGGTAATGGGCCCGACCTCGTAATGGAGATGAGGAGCTAAGCGGCCTCAACAAGGGCCCAGTGCTCCCACAGGCGTAGTGCGCAGTGCTTCTTCGTGCGCGATGGGCAACTTTACAACCAACATGCCTCGAAGAGCCCAAAGCCACCCTTGCGCTTGCCCACGGAGATTTCAGAGAAAGCCCCGCGTGCATTCAATATGTGTTTCCACTTGCCTGGTTGTAAAGTGCCCTTCCTGGTTGTAAAGTGCCCTTCTCGGATTTTGTAAGCTGGTTGTAAAGTGACCCATCTGGTTGGAAAGTGCGCTTCTGGTTGTAAAGTGACCCGCGCGCGGGTTCCCCCCCCTCCGAAAATCCCCCCCCCCCCCCCCCCTCACCCCCTGCTGGAACCCCTCCCCCCCCTCCCCCCACCCTGGGCACCCCCCCCCCCTCCCCTAACCCCCCCCCTCTCCCCTCGAAAACCGGGGAGGGGGGGGGGGGGGTCACTCCCGGTTCGAACCCCCCCCCCCTCGAAAACCGGAATGGGGTCACTACTGGTTCGAACCCCTCCCCACCCACCTCTCACGCCAGCAAACGACTCCCGGTCCCTACCGCCGTCCTCGTCCTCGCCACATCCCCCACTGTTGTTCCCAGCACCACTGTCCCCACCACCACTGCCCCCACTGGTTCCACCACCGCTCCACTGTCCCCACCAGTGCCACCACCACTGTCGCCCTGCCCCCACTGTCCCCACCACTGTTCCCACCACGGCTCCACTCTCCCAACTTTCTCCACGGCCCCAACCATTGCCCGACTATCCCCACTGTCCACCTGACTCCTCCGCTGTGCCACTAAGCTGTCCCACTGTTCCCACCACTGCCCCCACTGTCCCCACCACTGTCCCCGCTGTACCTCGGTCCAATTGTCCCACCGCCGTCCTCGCCACCGCCTTCACCACTGTCCCCCCCACCACTGTGCCCTCCACTGTCCTACTGTTTCCACCACATTCCCACCGCCCCCACACCGCTGTCCCCACCGCCGCCGCCCCCACCACTGTCCCACTGTCCCCGCTGTTCCCACCATTGTCCTGACCATTGTCCCCGCCACTACCGCCCCCACCGCTGTCCCACTGTCCCCGCCACTGTCCCGCTGTCCCCTCGCCGCTGCCCCCGCCGCCACCGCCCCCGCCACTGTCCGCACCCCCCCTCGGTTTTCGAGGGGGGGGGGGTCGAACCGGTAGTGGCCCCCCCGGTTTTCGAATTCGATGGGGGGGGGCTCGAACCGGCAGCGACCCCCCCCCCCTCCCTTTTCATGGTGAACTGGGGGGGGGAGGGGTTCGGGAGGAGGTAGGCCGTGGCAGTGCGGGGTCAACTTTTCAACGCATTCATGACCCGTTCGATGCGCATTCTAGCTAGTGCCCCCTCCTTAGGCCACCAGCCCACCTCGATGTCAAACCGGCTGGTGACGTCAAGCTGCCAGTTGAATGCAGAATGCCTGCTCCAGCCCCGGGGCGGCCGCGACCTGAAACGAAGCTTCACTGCGCTGGGGCGCCGCAAAGAGAGCGGGCCATCGCCGGTGCTCCTCGGAGGTCCTGGCTTTGAGCTGACCTCACCACTCCGTCGCAGAGGGCGCCTGCTTTTCCAGGGGGCCTCTGTGCCGTCCGCGCCGGCGCCCATCGGTGCCATGCGAATGGCGCAGGTAGTCCTCCCCGCGCGCAGACCAGGCCGCGCTTGCATCCAGCAGGTTGCCCGGCGAATTACCTGCGTTCCATGGCCACCCAGCAGCGGCGATTTTCCGAAGCGCCATCCTCGCGGGGGGGGCAACTCCAGCGGGAAGGCCACGGGCTGCGCCGCCCGCGCGATCTTCGCCCTCGCACGGGGCCCTCGTAGCTGCAGCCTGGCGGGCGCGAGCGCGCGGATGGGCAAGCCCAGGGCCGCGTCGACGGCCGTGGCGAAGCCAGCTAAGACCCGCGAGCGTACGAAGAAATCGATGGCCTTCTCCCCGCGCGTGGGCTCAGACGGGGCGACCGCCGCCCCGTGGGACAGGCGAGCCCGCTCCTGCGACTCGGAGTCCGTCAGGTTCCAGTCGCCCCCACCGACCCACGGACCTCGAAGGCGAGCCAGGCCCTGCATCGCATCCTCGAGGAAGGTGATGTTCGGCTCAGCCAGCCCTGCCTTCGTGGTCAGGTACACGCTCGCGAAGTAGGGCGGGGCGGGACACCGAGGCCTGTGCTGGCCACTGCAACGTGGCACGCACACTTCGGCAGTCTCGCACCGAACGACTCCGAGACGCCCACCATATCGGCGCTGACGACGCCACGGCCCCTCCACCAAAAGACTGCAAGGCCTCCTCTCCAGTGGCCTCCGCCGCGCCGAACTCCGACCGCAGGCCGGCCTGCGCAAGCCAGCGCTGGGCATTCTGCAGATGCATCTGCTCCTCCAGGCGGTGCTCCTGCAGCAGCACCACCGTTGGTGACGCACAAAAGGAGCTCGCCGCCGCTGATGTGCAAATGGACAGCGACTCTGGCCACCTAGCTGCGGCCACGCCTGCTGTCCTGGCCGCGTGGCCGATAGACGAGCCACCGATATCAAGGCTGAGGCCTCTAGCTCCGCTGTGATGATCCTGGGGGAGGTGCGCGTCCTCGACCAATCGGCATCGCACCAGCAGGTCCTGGCCATTCAGCCAGGACGTGACATTCGTCCAAACGACGTCGAGATCCTCGAAGTCAATCTCGTCACCCCTGCCGTGGCTTCTTCGCTGGCCAGGAAACCTCCTGGAAACGCTTGACCTTCTCGCGGTCGCCCTCCTTCGTGAGGTCGAATTCGCCCAGTCCTGCAGTCCGCAGGCGACTGGTCAGCTCAGGGTCGTCCGGGTCGAAGTCCACGCCGCTGTCGACGGCCATGTCCTCAGCAGCAGCAGCAACAACAGCAGCAGCAGCAGCGCCGCCAACGCCGCCACCTCCGCCGCCCGCGGGCGGCTGCTGCCGAGTCAGTTCCGCGTCAGCCGTGGCCTTAGCAGCGGCAGCGCTGGCTTGCTCCTGCAGGTCGGTCCGCTGGGCTGTTATGGCCCCTGTGGGGCTCGCTCGCTTTCGACGCCAGTGCCGGAGCACCGTCGAACTTGGCGAGCGCCTCGAACAGCTGGTTGACAATCCCCAACAACTTGTCGGCGCCTGTGAAATTGAGATTGCCCGCCGCCTGCACCTTGCCCAAGACAGGAACGGCGCTGGCGATCTCCTTCTCCTTGATGATGCCGCTGATCTCCGAGAGCGCCTGACGATGGCGTCCTCCGCGCCTGCTCGAGCGCCTCTCTCTGCTCTCGCACACGCTCGGCCCCTGCTTCTCACGGCGCGACCTCCGCTGGTGCAGGTCCTGCAACCCTTTGGACCCGAGGTCCGCAGGCTTGTCCTCCTGCTTCACAGGCCCCAACTTCGCTGAGAGAGCCCTGGCCTGCTCTGGCGAGATCCCGAGCTGGTTGAGGCCCTGCTGCAAGGTGGCCTGCAACTCCTTCTTGGCCTGCGCCACGGCCCGCTCCTTCGTGAAGGTCGTCGGCGGCGGCCCCAACTGCCACCTGCCACCCGGCTCACGGGTAGCACGCTCCTCCGGCTGCTGCGTGCAGCGGACTTGGAACACCTCGAGCACCGAGGGCGGGGCCTTCTTGCCGCGCTGCTGGCACGACGAGCGCCAGCCCCGGTTTGTGCCCACCGCAGCTCCGTTGCACTTCCACTGGCGCAGAGCCGAAATCCACCCATTGCGCGGCGCAGGCATCGGTTGGGGCTGGGGCGAGCGAGAATCGTGGCTCGGAGCAGCTGCGCCACTTCCAATTGCGCTGCTCCAGAGGTTTCCTCCAGAGACGTGGAAATGGCTAGGAGGAGGAGGAAGAAGAGGAAGAAGAGGAGGAGGACCTGAGGTGGATGAGGGTGGAAGTGGAGGAGGAGGAATTGGAGGAAGAGGAGGGGGAGGAAGAGGAAGAGGAGGAGGAGGGTGGAGATGGAGGATCGAGGATGCGGAGGGTGGAGGAGGAGGAGGAGGTGGACGCGGAGATGGGTAGGATGAGGGGCAGAGGCGACTTCTGCTTTTCCTTTTCCTTCCCGCGCGGGCAACGGCGAGCCCAAACGCGGCACCTGCCGTCCGAGGCTGTCCCGCGAGACTGGCGAGAGGACGTGGAAGCGCGAAACACGCACACGGCTGGATTCATCGTCGGGTGCGCCGAGGACGGGTGCCCAGGAAGAGGGGGGTGCGCAGCATCACGCCCGAGGCATGTGCGCGCACAAGAGGGGGGCCAGGGATCATCTTGAAAGACGCGGGGCCACGACACCTGGGAGCTTCCATGGCCCCTCGCCATGAGATCCAGCCCCCTCCCTGAAACTCACCCCTCTGTTGGATGCCCCCAACAGGTACGGAAGCTGTGGAAGCCACTTTCGGTGGCGGCCAAGAGGGGGGCGTCCAAGAGCAGGGGGTGCAAATCATGGCTGGCGGCATGTGCGCGGCCCAGGGTGAGGACCAGGACCGAAACACAAGAAGGGGCGCCATGAAATTTGAGGAAATATCATGGCCCCCGCCGTGATATCCCCCACTAGTCATCACCCCCCTCTTTGCCGCCCCCGACACTTACCAGGCCTGAACTTAAAGCAGTTGCGAGATCGGACCGGATCGGAGAAGGAAGATGGAAGAAGGAAGACGAGGAGGAGGAGGAGGAGGAGCATGAGGAAGAACAGGAGACCGAGGAGGAAGACGAGGACGTCGAGGTGGACGCTGATGCTGATGATGATGGGGAGGAGGAGGCGGAGCGGGAGGAGGAGGAGGAGGAGGAGGAGGCGAAATCGTACCGGATCGGAAACGGATCGGATCGTCGAGGACTCGGATCGGGACTGGATCGCTTGGAGTCGCGGAGCGGGCTCCTCGGCCCCTTCAGAGACCAGATCGGATCGGTCCGTGCCGGCTCGGGTCGAAACATCGGAATCCAAGGTCTGGGCATCGGATATCAGGGCGAAGAGGACCGCGAGCAGCCCCGCCTGCTGGGGTACACTCCCGGGGCCTCCCTGCGCCCTGCGTCGCGGCGGGGCAGATCGCAGCGGAGCGTGTCTCACGATGTTCCCTCCGGGGGCCCTCGCCAGGCCTCGGGGCCGTCTCATCACCCACCTCCTGCTCCTCCTTCTCCTCCTTCTCCTCCTTCTCCTCCTCCTGCTCCTCCTCGAGGAGGGGGGGGGGGAACTAAGGAGTAGGCCAGGGGAGAGAACTGACCCAGGCGGGGAGGGGACGGGACCTCGAGAACGGGAGCACGCTCCGACAAACAGCCATGGCGCCGGAGGCCCGGGCACGTGGAGGCCCGCGTGGCCATCTCGGCGTGCGAGGGCCGAGCGCTGGAACACCACGCGGCCACGCGCCCAACAGGGCTGAACCTACACAGTGCTTTTCGTTTTCGTTTTGTTTTCGTTTGCCCTCGTTTTGTCTCCAATCCGCCTTCAACGCAAAACGACATCGAAACGACAACGGCCCACGAAACAGCCAAAACACCGTTGAGGTTTTAGGTCCACCCCTGGCGCCCAACTCAGAACCACCGACTCCAAACATGTTGGCGTCTCAACTTTGCTAGAAGAAGAAGAAGAAAACAACCACATACGCATAAACTTTTGGCGCTCCGCGCAGATTTCTTGGATTCGCGCTGGACCCCCTCCCTGGCGCGCGGAGTGCGCCAGGGGCGGCGCCGGAGGCGCCGCCGGTGGGGGCCCATGCGCGATAGAGAACGGTACAGGGGGACTGGCACAAGGGGGGAAACATCGACATGGAATCGGTGATGCATCGCAGATAGATCGGCGATAGGCCCCCGATAGCAAATCCGCGCGTTCCTTGGCAGATTGGGGCTATCGGGCCCCTATCAGCGATGAATGGGCGATTGGGGATGATTGGGGGTTGATGCGTTGATGCGTTGTCCCTGAAGCCTTTCCCCCGCTGTGTTGGCGGCGCGCAGGGGGGGTAGGTGGAGGGAGGAAGGCCTCTTCGAAGAAGGCTGCTTCTCAGAATGCGCCGGCCCTGCACCTGCAGAGAAGGCCCGCGCCTTCTAAGATGGATGCAGGGGTGCTTCTGAGAAGCCTTCCCCCTCCCCCTTGCCCCCCTCTGTGCGTGGCTGACTATCGTGGCCCCCGACCGCCGCCTCCCGCCCGCCTTCCGCCGACGAGCCCGCCGCGCCGGGGGCGGCGGGCTCTTCTAGAACCGCCCTGCACCTGCTGGCGGCGCGCAGGGGGGGTATGGGGGAAGGGGGGAGGGCTTTTCAGAGGGAGGCCGCTCCTTGCACGGCGCCAGTCCTGCATGGATAGATACAGGCCCGCGCCTCCGAAGAAGCAGCCTCCCTCCAAGAAGCCTTCCCCCCCTCTCCCTACACCCCACCTGCGCATGGCCGAGCCCGGCGCCAGGCCTCGCCCCACGGCCAGCCACGGTGTGCGCACACCCAGTCTTCCCCGCAGGACCCCGGCCTCCGGCGCTGGGCTCTTCGTCGCAGCGTGGGCCTCTACCCGAGGTCCTGACCCCCTCCCGGGAACTGGCTTCGCATCCCGAGCAGTGTTCTGGCGGTCCCGGGGCCGGGCCCCCGGAGGCCGAACATGATAACGAGAACGCCCGCCGCGATGCTTGTCCCGACGCGAGCTGGCCTGGGGAGGAGGGGGGTCTTCTTGAGTGGAGATGCAGAAGACAGGGACCATGACCAAGACTGAACGCGGAACTGTCGCGCCGATCTTGGCCAGCGTCCATCTGGGTCAGCGTCCATTCGTGGAATACCCTCGCGACTCGGCGACGGCCGACATGGACCATGACCAACATCGGCATCGACAAGATCTCACGACACCTTGGTCGTCCCTCAGATCTGGCGTTGAAGAAAAGTTGCAGCATCGCGAAAAATCGTCACTGAAGCCCCAAGCCTCATCTTTCTGCGCCGCTTTTCGAGCTGGATCGACCTCTGAGCTGTGAGGGCCCACGGGCCCGAAACCCAGCGAAAACGCCCGCTGTGAAGAAGATGCGACGCCAGGATCTGAGGGCGTCTTGGCCATGGTCCCCGTGCTCGCCTTCCCTCGACTGAGGCCGGCGGGCTCAGCCGAGAATCTCCAAGGCCTTCCTGAGCCCCTCCAGCTCCGCGGCCCTGCGGCCGGCCCGCTCCTCCCGGCGGGGCGCCCCTCGAGGCTCCCAGAGCGCGGCCCCATCGGCGGAGTCTTCTGCGGGCTCTGATTCTGCGCATCTCTGAGCCGATCCCCACTGGCATGGCCCCCAGACCCCCTCGAGCCATACCAAAATCAATGCGGAAGGTTTTTCCAGACTTGTGGCCTCTGGGGGCCTTTGCCCGTCCTTTTGGGACCGTCGAACGAAAGAAGAACTACGTCAGGGATCTGGGCCTGGGTCCCACGGGCCGGCTTACCTGCCGGGTGGAGGGTACATGCTGCTCCCTTCGGGTGCCGCGGGGCCTATCCCCATCTGCGGGGGTGGTGGGGCTGAGATGCCATGGACCAGTGGGGATGGGAATCGGTCATTCATGCGACGCTGAGCTTTCTAAGCCACCCACCTGTGGGCATCGCGCTCGCCGACGCACGACGCGCGGCTATCTTCGCGCCCCCGCGCCGCCGCCCGCGAGGAGGGCAGCCCTCATTCCCTTGGCCACGACGCGCGCAGCGCGCCTCTCTCCCTGCGCTCCTGCGGGGGGGCGCGGGCGCGCCAGAGCGGGCTCGCCTTCGGAGGCCTCCCACGAGGGGCTCCGAGCAGACGAGGTCGGAGGACGGCAGCGGATCGCCGATGCGTCGCCGAGGCATCGCCGACACGCCGCCGAGGCATCGGCGAGCCTGCCGCGGGCCCGCTCGCGCCTGCACGCAGGGAGCGACCCCCCGGGCCAGAGCGGCCTCTGGTGCGCGGCCTGCGGGGACACCGCGCCTCGCGGCACGATCGGGGAGCCCCGGTGGGCCCATAACCAAAGGCCACCCCTGGCGCAGAGCCACTCCTGGCACCCAGGCCCCGCACCGCCGCCCGAGACTCAGGTCGGGCACGTCCCCCCCACAGGCGGATTTCGGAGGACAACTTCGAAATAGTACAGACACAGACTCCCAAATATAGCCAAACACAGTCACACGAACCGTCCCCACACTGTTTTTGACTATTTTTGGATGTTCCTCCTGTAGAGGGACAGGCCCGACTTAACCCGAGGCGCGAGGCGCAGCGCCGCCCTCTTTGGACGCCCGGAATGGGCACGGAAAAGATGGGTACAATGCCCAACAACAAATGTTGCCCCAAAGCAGCAGCGGCCGCTGCTGGGCAGGCGGCCTTCTGTCTCACATGGGCACAAGCCGCGGCGGCGCGGACAGCGAGCCCTGCTCATAATGAACAGGCACTGCTGCTGGGCACTGCGCCCATCCTTTCCATACCCATGTCGTTCGTGCCGACCCGCGCCCCCGCCGCCAGGAGATGGGCAGCTCTGCGCCCCGGGCCGTGGGCCCCCAAGCGCCCAGGGGCGCGGCCTCTCACCTCTGCAAGGGGCCCAGCCAGTAGGGGGAACAAACACACACACACACACACACACGCAGACACAATGAACCGTCGATTCCCCGGAACATATGGGAAAATATGGCAAGTAGGGGGGCAGACAGAAACCCAGAAGATATGGCAAAATATGGGGACTCTGGTTATTTGTGTCTCTTTATTTGTGTGTGTGTGTGTGTGTGTCCCTGGGCCCCTTTACCCAGGGAGGCACAAGCAGAGCGGCCCAGACGTGAGGATTGCCCGCCATTTGTCCACGCTTCCTGGGTGTTCCTCTTCCCTTCCGCTTCCCATCTCCCCCCGTATTTGAAGGGGCGCCTGCGTTTACTTCTTGTGCCTGTGCCGCTTCCTGACACCTCCTCGCGCCGCGACTAGAACACCACCGCGGGAGACTTTTGGAAGCTTTCGGCCTCTGGGGGCCTGCGCTGGGCCCCGGGGCCATCAGAACACGGTTCAGCAGGAGAAGACGGTCTCCAGGAAGGGGTCCAGGCCTCTGGGGAGCCGCGCTGTGAGGAACTCACGACGTCGGGGGTCTGGGCTTCTCAGCGACAGGCTTCGACCCGTCGGTCCCTGGGACTCTCGACTCCATCCTGGGGACTGGGTTTCCACCCCGATCAGTTTTTCTTGACGGTCCTGGTTCTGAAAACTGCGAGAAGCCTCCCGGGCGGGATAGTGCCTAGTCGCCAAAGGTCTGAGGGCGCGGAGCGCGGCTATCCGGGCGTCCAGAAGCAGATGTCTTGCCCTGCTCAGCTTCGTGCGCGACCCCTTCTGATCCCACCAGCCCTTTAGGGAGTAGGCGGTCTGAAGATGTTATTATTTCCTCTTCCAAGCCCCCTCTTCCCTTCGGGGAAGGGTGCCGGCCCACACCCCCATCCCAGAGTTTGTTGTTTTTGTTTGTTTGTTTGTTTGTTTGTTTGTTTGTTTGTTTGCTGGTTTATAATATATATATATATATATGTGTGTGTGTGTGTGTGTGTGTGTGTGTGTGTGTGTGTGTGTGTGTGTGTGTGTGTGTGTGTGTGTGTGTGTGTGGGGGGTCCTTTTTCGCCCAAGATGACTCCAAGAGGGCCCCTGATACTCCAAGATGGCCCCCAAAATGTCTCAACACAACCGAAGATAGATCAAAATGGCTTCCGACATGCCTCCAAGAGGCCGCAAGCGGCCCACAAGACGGCTCCAAGAGCTCTCGGAGCCCCCTCAGGACTTCTCCAAGCTGCCCAGATCCTACAATCTCGCTCTTTCGTTTCCGATGCGGATTTTGAATCCTCAAGCTGGCCCTCGTCCTTCTCCTCTTCCTCCTCGCCCTCCCCTTCCTCCTCTACGTTGGGCAAGCTTGGATCGACTGGGATCGTAGCGTCAGTCCTCGTCCTCCTCCTCGCCCTCGCTGTCGTCCTCGCCCTGGGTCTGATCCGGCCGATCCAGAACTTGTCCCACTGCATGCTTCTACTCGGGTGCGGCCAACAGGGGGGGTGCAAATCATGGCCGGCGGCATGTGCGCGGCCAAAGGGGGGGCCAGGGACGCAATGAAATAAGAAGAGGCGCCATGAAATCTGGGGAAACATCATGGCCCACGCCACGATATCCCCCCCCTGGTCATCACCCCCCTCTTTGCCGCCCCCGATCTACACTGTCCTGATCAAGGCCACTCGATTGGGCATCGCTTCTGGATGGGCTTTGTGGGGATAGCGACGCTTGAGCAACATCGACACGAGGGGTAGGGGGCCCCTGAAGGGAACGCGTCCTGGAGCGCGAGATCGTTCTCGCGGGACTAGCCTTTTTTCATCCCGAGCTGCACTTCAACGGTCCAAATAGGCTCGGGGAGGGCCCTGGGAGCCCCAGAACGGGGAAAAACATCAGGACCCGTTTCCCTCTGGACACCCTTCCCTCGCGGCGCGGCGGTCTAGGGACGACCCTGCCGAGGGGGTCGGCGCTGAGGTGGCCAGGACGGCCCCCCGGCTCCGCGTACGTCTCAGGCTTGGCGACGCACATGTCATTGAGCTTCTCGAGGTACTCCAATACGGCGTCCAGCTCGGACTGCGTGGTCGCCCGGTCCGCCGCGGTCTCCGTGATTGCCTTGTCCAGCTCCGCGGCCTCTTTGGTCTCGTACTTGACCGACTGCTCCTTCTTGCCAGTTGGAGGGGGTACGTTCACCGTGCTACCGTAAGAACCGCTGGGCAAGAAACGAAAGGGCTTCCTAGTTTGGAGGGGGTTGGGCGGCCCAATCAGCAGCTTCGCCTTAGGCGAAGCCCAGCTCCAGCTCTCTTGTACCGTAGTAGCGCTAGTCCCAGACGTACGAGGTCGTCGCGGGAGCGACGGGCCACCTCAAGCGAATATGTTGTCGGTCTCGATGGCAAGTCGTGTGCCTCGCGAGGAGGTGCAATCATATGTTGGCGGCCGGCCGCTTGAGCCCAAGCGGCCGCGGACGAACGCTCGCTATCCCTCGCCCTTGTCACAGTCACAGCTCGCTTTAGAGTCTCCTGACCGCGGCGGGCCTCGGTCACAAACAAGTTCCTGGATAGATGTCCAATGCGCGGGCCGACAGCCCGATGCCCTCTTGAGCCCACAGTGGCATCACGTCAGCGTCTTGCCTTCAGCACTGGGGGGACGATGGGGAGGATCAATCCGACGACCGCAGAGGCGCGTGGCATTAAACTCTTGCAGAGTCCTCTCATACTACCTCATCTTGTCATGGGAATCCGACTCCGTGGTACTCCCACCCCTACAACCTCTGTCTGTCTGTCTCTCTCTCTCTCTCTCTCTCTCTCTCTCTCTTCTCTCAGAAGCGACACTGACGTTCCACCTGGCCTCTACCTGGCCCTGGCACTCCCGCTTTCTAGGACCTCTGTTCTTGGATGGGATCACCAGCCGATTCTGCGTCCCCTGGGGGATCCCTGTGGGCCGCCCAGAAAAAGGATGGCCGAAATGGCCTCCCGTGGCCAACATTTGTGGTCGTGGTCGTGGTCCCCCAGGCCCCCCCCCTCCCTCCTCCTCCTAGCCTCCTCCTCCTCCTCTTCCTCCTCATCCTCCTCCGCCCTCCTCCTCCTCCTCCTCCTCCTCCTCCTCCTCCCGCTCCTCCTCCTCCTCCTCCTTCTCCTCCTCCCCCTCCTCTTCCCCCCCACACGCCAGAATCACGCGCGCGCGCTGCGTGCGCGCTTGGGTTCTTTATTCGACGCCGAGGGCACTTCAAATAGGCATTCGATGAATCTTGCGATGTGTCTTACACTTGGCGCCCGTTTACGCTCGCTTGATCTATTGCTCCCCAAGTTTCCCTCGCCCTTCTCGCTCTTCACATCCTTCCTCGGTCCTCGGTCTGTCGCCTTCTTGTCTCGTCGTTCCACGCGCCTTCGAACTAACCTGAATCCCTTACGGAGCGCCCTCTCCAAGATGACCACGATCCAAGCGTGATGGCGGGAGATGTCGGAGCTCACATTGCGCACATATCGCCATGGGTCTATGTATTGTTCCTGTCTCTTGCTCTCTCCCTCTCTCTCTATATATCCCTCGCTCTCCGTCTCCGTCTCTGTCCCTGGCTGTCTCTCTCTCTCTCTCTCTCTCTCTATATATATATATATATATATCCAACTTTACTTTTGCTGTGGCGGTGGTGGTGATGGTCATGGTGCTGATGGTCTTCCAGAATGCCAGTCGCCGCAGCCGTGACATTGATGACGATGGTGATGTTGACGGTGACGATGGTGATGAAGAGAGTGGGATCTCCTTCGCGATCTTCGCCTCCTTGTTGTCCTGGGTCGTAACCTCACAGGGGGGCTCTCCGATCAGCGTGTCAGGCAAGGCGCTCCGTCCAGAAGGACGTCTGAACATGAGGGGGAAGAAGAGCTAAGAGGGATATAACAACTTCGTGTCGTGACGGGCCGGGCGTATTTTCCAGACACCGCGTGGATCGGTCAACCCTGAACGAATCGCTCGATGTCGGCCGGTTCCGAGAAACTGGCGGCATTCAACCTTGAACGCCCGCACTGAGGTCGTCGCCACGTCAACGCGGCACAAATCTGCTGTACGGCGCTGTGCGAGCAAGATTCAATTTTCGGGTCCAAGCTCGGGTCCCCCGCGGCTATTCGGGACGCTCTGGCCACCCGCGGAACGCCCCTGTCAGGGCGCAGCTGCTGGGAAGTGCCCCGAGGCGGGAGAACCTCCTGGGATTCTGCGCACATCTGCTCACCCAAACCAAAGCAGACAGAGTGCGGTGCGACAGCGAAGTCTCACAGAAAGGGGCCCGCGGGATGGCGCTCTGCCACCTCTGCGCCGCCCTCCCGCCAGGCTGCTGTGCCCTGCCACCTGCGCCGGGCCGTGCGGCGCTGCTCCAGCGGCGGCGGCGGCCAGGGCGGCCACGGGCAGAAGGGTCGCGAGCGGCGAACGCATCCATGCCCACGCCCACGCGGTTGGGATTCCCGAGCGCGACCCCGTGGATGCGCGGTCGCACGGATGCGCTCCGCGCGGGGCACCCGCGGGGAAAACGCCCCGCACCCGCGCGGGGCCGCGGCCCTGGGGCCCGGCCCGCGACGCCGAGGGCAGGGGCGTGCCTTCCGGCAGCGCGAGGGGGGCGGGGCGGCGGCGGGGCGGACGGGGGGCGGCCGGAGGCCGCACGCCCTGACCTTCCTGGGCAGACAGCGGGGCCGGTCGCCCGAAGCGGGTGCGCTGGAGGCAGCCCAGCATCGTGGGAGACGAGGCTCCGGGCCCTCCCGGGGCTCCAGCCCCCCCCCCCTCCATCCAAGGACGGACATGTGGCCATCGCCATGCTCATCACTTTCTCCTTCTTCTCGCCCCCATCGCCTCTTCATCCGCACGAATTGTCACCGCAGCTCCCCCTCGCCACCACCACCACCACCACCGCCGCCGCCATCGCCCGCTTACCGCCACCATTACCGTCGCCATCGTCGTCGTCGTCGTCGTCGCCACCGTCGCAAATCGTGCGAATCCCCCGAAGCCTCGTACTCGGACTGTGCAGAGTCTTCCGTGGCAGTGATCTCGGCGAGAGTCTTGGTGAAATCGGAGAGGCAGACCTCGAGCATGCCGATTATCCGCCACCGCGCCGTAGGCACGGCATGGAGGTGTCCTTCGATTTCTTCGGGCTCAGCTCCGTGTCGAGTGCTGAAGATGCCAGGGCCCTGAATTCACGGGCGCTCCTGGGCACTCCTGGGGCGGCTCGCGTGACTGTTCTGGAGGCCTCGGGTGCGTGGTTGAGACTCCACGCTTCCAACATGGCCTAAGATGATTCTTAGGACCGTCCTGTTGAGCGCCTCGGGGGCCGTCTGGAAAGCCCTTGTGGCCGGCCGAGGAGGCCCAAATCAGTGGAAAGCCATTTGTTCCCAACACTCCTGCATTGAAGCCGCAGCGCCCCGCGACTCCTTCTCACCTCCTCCCCCTCCCCCTCTTCCTCTCCTCTGCCTCTACTCTCATCATCATCAGAGTCATCGTCATCATCATCACTACACCATCATCACTACCACCAACATCATCACCACCATCACCACCATCATCACCACCATCATCGTCATCATCAGCATCATCAGCATCATCATCATCATCATCATCCTTAGCATCGCAACCATCACCACCATTATCACCAACATTGTCACCACCATCATCATCACTATACTCACCATCACCACCACCACCATCATCATCATCAGCATCATCACCATGATCACCATACTTATCATCACCACCATCAGCACCATCACCACCGATATCGTCATCGTCGGCGTCATCGCCGTCATCACCATCATCGTCAGCACCACCACCACCACCACCATCATCATCATCATCATCATCATCATCATCATCATCATCATCATCATCATCATCAACATCATCACACTCATCGTCGTAGTCGTCGTCGTCACCATCATCACCAGCAACACCATCATACTCATCACCATGACCATCATCTTCCTCCTCACTACCACCACCACCACCATCATCACCATCATCATCATCATCATCATCATCATCATCATGATCATGATCATGATCATCAGCATCACCATCATCATCAACAATATCATCACGATGACCACCACTACAACCACCACTACCATCACCATGACCATTCTCATCATCATCGTCATCATCATCATCATCAGCATCATCATCATCATCATCATCATCATCATATCTTCATCGTCACCATTATCATCATGACCGTCACCGACAACAGCGCCAGCGCCAGCGCCAGCGCCAGCACCATCACTGTCACGAGTACCATCACCATCACCATAATGACCGTTCCTCACCTCCGCCCTCCCCTCACCTCCCCCGCGTCTCTGCTTCTGCGCATCCTTCACACGTTTGGGATCTGTACCTGTGGCATCAGTTGGCAAGGCCACATGCGGTCGTCCCACATGCGGTCCTCTCGCCCATGTCGGCACATCCTCGCGCGGATCGTGTCCCACATGGAACTTGATATGCGGCCACAGAAGGCCACGTACGGTCCCCACGCCCATGTCGGCAGACACCCCACAAGGAACGTGGCCTCATAGGGAGTTCCACCTACGGCCCCAGTGGGCAAGGGCACAAACGGTCCCTCCGCTCATTTCGGCACGCCCCTCAACATGATCGTAGCCCCATGAGGAGCTCAACCTGCGGCCCAAGTGAGGGCGCACGTACGGCGGCGACGCCTCATTTCGGCACACCCCTCGTAAGCTTCGTACCACATAGGGAGCTCCACCTTCGGCCCAGTGAGGGCGAGCTTACGGCGGCACCGCCTCGTTTCAGCACACCTCCTGTCAGCGCCGTGGCCCCATAAGGAGCTCCACAGATGAGCCCAGTAATGGCGCCGGTTTGGCATGACCGCTTCATGTTGGCGCACCCCTCACACGTGTCCTAGGGCTCCCAACTTCGCGGTTCGCGCTCCGCGAAGCGCGAATAACTTCGCGCTCTCGTGCCGCCCCCCCCAAAGGGAGAAAAAGAGGGCGAGGAGGAGGGGGAGAAGGAACGAGGACCGCGAAGCGCGAATAACTTCGCGCCCTCGTGGGAGCCCGTGGTATCGTGACCCCATAGGGAGCTCCACCTACGGCCCCAGAGAGGGCGCCAATTTGGCTTGACCTTTCTAGTTCGGCCCCCCCTCACAACACGCTTCGTGATCCCATCGGGGACTTCACCGCCTCTTCTGGGCACAACCCTCGAACGCTTCGTGGCCCCATGGGGCGCTCCACCTAAAGGCCCATCGGTGTCGTATGTATGGCGGCGTTGCCTCATTTTGGCACACCCGTCACACGCTTTGTGGCCCCATAGGGAGCCCACTTCCTCGGAAGAGGGACATCGTCTTCTCTACTCGTAGCTGCTTCGGGTTGGAAGCTTCACCGGGCTGTTGTTCAATCATTTTCGCCTTCTTGCCGTCTTGGTCTGAAAGAGTGCCCAAGACGGCTTAACAGGCCACCCACCCAGATCGGCCCAGGACAGCCGCCGAAGATCATGCCTTTCAGACGGCCCCAAGAGGGGGAACACAACCTGACATTCCGAATCTTCCCCCCAAGATGCCCCCCGAGGCCGCCAGCAAGCGCCAAGAGATCCGCACAAGGCATGCAAGATGCCCCAAGAGACTTTCAAGAAGCTCCTAACAAACCCCAAGGAGATCCCACAACGCTCTAAACATGCCTCCAATGGGCGTCAAAGAAACCCCAAGATACATGTAAGATGCCTCTGGTCCACAACCTGCGCTCGGTGGCGTGTTAGGCCGAAGGCCACTAGATCCGCCACCCCCTGTGGGCTGCCACAAGGGTGCACGGCGTGCCCGATGTTAGGTAGCTTTGGGTCTTTTGGAAAAAATCCCAATGGACCTTCGGCCGATCGCGGCGACCGCCGGAAGCACCCGTGAAGTTTCCCAGTTCGTCGGTCTTTCCGCTCCAGACGGCCCCAAGACGGCCAGGATGATTTTAAGACGGCTACGTAGTTCCAGAAGAGGGAGGAGGAGGAAGAGGGGGAGGATGAGGACGAAGAGGAGGAGGAGGAGGAGGAGGAGGAGGAGGAGGAGGAACAGGAGGAGGAGGAGGAGGGGGAGGGAAGGAGGGGGAGGAGGAGAACAAGAAAAGGAGGAGGAGAAAAAGGAGAAGGAGGAGAAGGATGATGAGGAGGGGGCCCAAGATGGCCTCAAGATGTCTCCAAGGTGGGCCCAGGATGGCCCGAGACGGCCCAAGAGGCCCTCAAGAGGGCTCCGAGAGAACCTCCAGGAAAGCTCGACGAGGTCTCGACGACGACGACGATGACGATGCTCTCCTCCTCTTCTTCATTCTCCCCCACAGGTTCCCCGAAGCGTTTACACAAAACGGCTACTGTAATCCATGATCCGATAGCTTGGCCGAGCTCTGGTAACACCGTTTGGCCACACAGGTGCTTCCAGAAGGCAGGGTGCGGCGGTGAGTGGCCGTGAGCGTCCTTGATACCCCCGGCCGCACCGTCCTTGGCGTCATGGGCCTTGTCCTCCGTCGCATAATACTCCTTGAGAATTTTCAGGGCACCCTCCACCCCTTTGATGCCGTCCTTGAGAGACTTGTCCTGCTCCGCGAACAGCTCGCTTTCCTCCTTGCGCATCTTGTCCATCGCAGACTGCGTCGCCGCCAACTCGGCCAACTCCTTCTCCAGAGTGGCGACGCTATCCTTCAACTTCGCGGAATTAGCTGCCATCTGGTCGATCTTGGTGGTCAGCTTCTCGACCTACCCGGAGCGTAGGAATTCTCCTTCCCGCTTCCCCTCAAGAAGTGGGGACACGTTTTGTTGTTTGACACCGCTGGGGTTCCAGGTGCTGGTGTTGCCTCGCGGAACCAGCACGGGGTGGAAGGGAGGTGGATGAAGGGAACGTGGAGGAGAGGGAAGAAACACACGTCGTTCATTTCTAACCGTACTCATTTCTAATTGTGCTCGTTTCTAATTGCTCCTGGCCCCTAGTGGCCAGGAAGAGGCCCAGGATAGAACAATTAGAAATGACAGGATCTTGGCCCGCCAAAAAACAAAGAGCTTTGAATACTTAGAAATGAACAATGTGTAGGTGTGAATTTGCGTTTGTAACAGCAACATACTCTAGACCCTTCTTCAGGGACAGTGGCACCACGAGACACTTGGCGTTCTTTTCGTGCTTTATCTGCTGTTGGCGACTGCCTTCGTTGAAATACTTGCATGACGTGCGCCCATCTCCAACATCCTCGATATCGGAGAAACGCCAGCCTCACCACCAATATTGAATTAGTGACAGACGAGGCGAACGCATAACGCACAACAATGAGTCGTCGGCATAGTCGACTACAGCACTCATGTGACCGTCGCCTGACCGAAGCTGGGGCTTCGAACGAAAGGGGGCCTTGCTAATTCCAGGAGGGGATCTGGTACAGTGCGGGCGCGGCCGCAAGAAACCCTCGCAAGAAACCCAGCCCTGAAACCCGCAGGGGCGAGATTCAAGTGGGGGGAGCCCAGAGCACCCTGAATGCAGCAGCTCCTTCAACGGCCAAGGGAAGCCCCCACGCAGCGCCGCGCGCAGCGAAGAAATCCAGGGTACCCTGACGAAAAACAGTCAATTTCTTGATCCGCGCCCCCACTGTAAGGTAACACATCCATTGCCTTAGGTCGGGCGTGTCCCCCTAGAGGCGGATTTTGGACGAAAACGTAATCAAAAAAAGTGTAGAACCATCCTCCCCAAATTATTTTAAAACTATTTTTGAATATTCCCCCTGTAGAGGGACGTGCCCGACTTAACCATTGCCTCGCAAAATACACCCACCTGGCAACCATACTGTTTCGAAACTTGCCTCCCCGTGAACTTCTCGAGCCCGCTCGTCGGGGCCGGTGTTTTTCACCGCGGGTCGCCACTCGACGGCGCCGGAGCCGCAGAATAGTGGAAAACCTCGCGCTGATATTTGGCTGATGCATTTCGTGTGCATGTGTGCGTGTCTGCGTGTTAGCCCTCAGCTGTCTCGACCGCTTCTTGGACGCAAGTTGCCGCTGTCAAGCATGTATGTGTGTGTGTGCGTGTGTGTGTGTGTGTGTGTGCTGTTTCATTTTGCTTGTTGCCTGTTCCCTTTTTGTGTTGAAGTGCTGAAGTCTTGTGGGGGTGATAAAAAGTGTTTGGTTGGCGCTGGGAAGATAGCTTGCAACATCGATCTCCGAAAAGGACGCTATCCCTGTGAGGCGATCCCCCCCCAACGGGGGCCCCTTATGTTCACGCCATCCCCCCTGCCAGGGCTTCTTCGGTGTACGCTATCTCCAGGGCAGGGGACAGCGTAATGAGCGGGCCGGCGGCGCTTTGAGGCGGTCGAGGGGGCTGAACAAGTTGGGACCCCACAGAAATCGGCCAGGCAGACCCGTTCAAAATCGGTCCCCGGACCCTCCTGGGGCCCACCCGAGTTCTTCGCCCCCGGCTCCGTTTCCGACGGTCCAGGGGGCCCGAGAACGGCCCCCAGAGGCCGAACAGGGCAGCACACCTCCCCGAGGCCGAGCAGGCCGAACGGGGCCGAACCGAGGGGCCCGAGAGCGGCCCCCGGAGGCCCCGGAAAGGGCGACGGACCTCCCAGAACCCAGAACCTGCCCGCCCTCCCTGCTGGCCGGAACCCGTGCTGGGCCCCACCTCCAGACGGCTCCAAGGCGGCGCCACGTCGCACGCCATCCTTCCAGCGCCCGCCGCGCGCGCTTTTCGCGGAGGCTGCGGCGACCGCCTGCCCGCAGCGGCCCCGCTGAGGGGTCCGCCCTGCGGGGCGGGGACAGCGCGCAGGCGAGGGGCTGCGACGACTCGAGGACTCGAGGCTGAGCGGCCCCGTTGGTGAGCCCAGCATGGCGCGGCAGGGGCAAGGGGGGCGGGAGGACGCCAAGGGAGGGAGGGGATGGGGAAGAGAAGACGGAGGGGGATGAGGAGAGGGCAGGAGAAGATGGAGAAGCTGGACTGGATGATGGGGGAGGCGGCGGAGGATGAAGAGGATGAGGATGATGATGAGGATGGGGATGATGATGAGGATGAGGACGGGGATGATGATGCTGCTGCTGATGATAGTGATGCTGATGATGATGCTGCTGATGATGATGATGCTGATGCTGATGCTGATGATGATAATGACGATGATGATGGTGATGAGGAGGAGGAGGATGAGGATGGTGAGGATGATGAGGATGATGAGGATGATGATGATGATGATGATGATGATGATGATGATGATGATGATGATGATGATGATGATGATGATGATGATGATGATGATGATGATGATGATCATCAAACAACATAAGAGGGCAAACCCTGTGATGATTCATAAATTCAGCATGCAGGAAAAGGAAGCGCTACTGGGGACCCCAGCGAAGCTCATGCCAACCTCCCGAGAAGCCTTTGGCCAGGTCGCGATCGGCTCTATCGAGACTCCTGATCTGTTGCCAGGAGAGTTTAGGATATTCACCACTCTGGATTGCTCGGAAGCACACAGGGGCGCGGTGAGCGAGGTGATCCATTGCGGCAGCTCTCGACCTGTAGCGTTTGGAGCAAACGGGGCAGGAGGGTCCTGAAACGTAATCACGGGCGGGATTACTGTACCCGTGGACCCTATGCCTGTGGGAGAGCAAGCCCCCAGAAGTGGCACAGCAGCGGCGCCTCTCAGCTGGGCAATCTGGACAGGCCCGAGGGGCTTGAGGGGGCGGCTCGTGAGATCTTGCATCAAAGTACTCAGGCACGCTAGCACGTGTGCGCATGCGCGTGCACTCTGGAAGCATGTGGGCGAGCGCTCGCTTGAAGGCAAGGGGGGAGCAAAAGAGGGAGAGCCAGGGACCAGGCTGTTTTCCTGGGTCGGGCAGGCTCTGGAGGTCCAGGCAAGCCTCACGCGCCCAGCGGAGGTCGGCCTGCAGCGCCGCAGCCGCCCGGGTGCCGGGCTGGCAGCGCAGAGCTTTCAGGAGGCTGGGACCAGCAGCGAAAGAGGCCGCCGCAGTCTGCAACCGGCGCTGCAAGAGCAGGAGGTCCGAGGGGAGCTCCTGCAACTCCTCGAGCGCCGAAGCGTCGGTGCCGTGCCCTGTGGGCTGATACCGGCAACGCCCTGCGAGCTGACGCAGGACGCGAAGGCGAGCAGCGTGCAGGCGGTGGACAGCGTCCTCGGACGGGTCGAGCCAGACCTCCGTACCGGAGAGCAGCTTGGAGAAGCACAACGACTTGGCCAGCGACAGCCTCACAGATAAAGATACATCGTAGTTACCGTACACACGATGAGCCAATGCATAGTAAGCCTGCAGCGCCGAGCTCGCCTTCACCTTAGCGTCGTGCACGTAGGAGCCATTGACATGTAAAGTAGTGCCAACGTGCTTATACTTGGGCGAGATCATGATGCGGTGTTGGCCACAAAAGGTCGGAAGCATGAAGCACTTCTTGGCAGGAACATAAAGCGGAGCCTTGGCCTTGCGCGACCCTTTTCCAACCAAGGATAATGAGATCTCCGTCTTCCCAGGAGCAAGATTGCAAACCAGCCCACACTCTTGGAAAGAGGCAATAGTGATGGCGAGAATCTCCTTAGCTTTGATGATCAGCTTGTACGGGCAGGCGTCCGCAAGGAGCCAGACCACATCATCCACATAAGAGATATCACTAGCAACGACCGATACTGGATCAGGATGAAGCTCATCAGGAATAGGATCTGCATCAGCACCAAGCGCCCAGGGACAGCCAGAGCCACTGACATGAAATTCACGGAGAAGCTGGCGATCATGAGCACGACCTCTGGCAAGGGATAAGGCATATTCATAAATGATGTTGAATATCAACGCGCCAATTTTGCAGCCTTGTCGAGCTCCTTTCGCAGTATGTACCACTGGAGAATCTTCAGAAATGGTATCTTTGGCAACTGAGATCCACGTATGAGTGTGAAGATCTGCAACCAAGGTGGATAGCTCCAACGACGCACCAGCAGCCATGAGGAGGTTGCCATGCTTGGAGAGGATGGGCTGCACATGCTCGCATAACTGAGGTTGGAAACCGGCAGCGCTAAGGCGAGACTGAGCTTCATCCACGGGGGTACTCGGGGAGATCATGGCAAACTCTCTGCAGATAGTGTCGAAGGCAGCGGTCAGGTCAACGTACAGGTTGGCGAAGGACAACTTGTACGTGATGATGATGCTGATGATGATGATGATGATGATGATGACGCTGATGATGCTGATGATGATGATGACGCTGATGATAGTGATGCCGATGATGATAATGATGATGCTGATGATGAGGAGGAGGAGGTGTATCGCAGCGTCCAACCCAGGACTCTGATGTCCACAGCCCGAGCCCGGGGCGGAGGAGGCGGAGAATAGGAGAGGGAGGGGGAGGAGGAGGCGGCGGCGAAGAGACGATGGAGGCGGAGGAGGAGGAGGTTGAGACAGGGAGACGCAGGAGGAGGATGGTGCAGCGAGGGATGGGAAAGGGGGCAGAAATCTTGGCGGCTGGATCTTCGACCGTGGCGCTCTTCTCCGCCTTCTTCGCCTCCGCGTC